CGGCCCCAATTCTAATAACGAGCGCGCACCGTCAGGGAGAGTCATTCCTCCTAACACGGTTAGCCTTGAATTTTCTTGCAGATTACCTATCCTAATGTGATCTGTTTGATGTTCTTTAGCGATATTTTTGTGCGCTATTGAAGCTGTGTTATGTGATATACTCAAAAGGTTTTCGAATTTTCTTCGCAAAGCTACTTTAGCATTAAACCTAATAGAGTTGCAAATCAACACTGACCCACCTACTATTCTCCTCCAGAGGTGGTCCTCCAAATATTGAGCACAAAAGTTTTCCTTCCTGCCTATCGCTTACCTGAACAGGATTGGCAGAACACTGGACGAAGGCATCCATGTCAGCAAGCAGGGTCTCGAAAAGGATTCAGTACGATGGACCACATACATAAGAGCACTCAGTACATAAAGATTCTTCGTGAGCTGTACAAAAATTTCACAATCAAGGTATCACCATTCTACAACGATATTAACATTGACGTCAAAAGAGGAGTTAGGCAAGGCGATACCATCTTGCCAAAATTATTTACCGCCACCCTCCAGAACGTCATACGGACATTGGAACGGAATAATATGGGAGTGAAAATCGACGGTCGGCAGTTACGTCATCTTCACTTTGCTGATGACGTCGTCCTTATAACACCAAACATTAGCCAAGCGAGACGTATGCTTGCCGACTTTGATAAAGCCTGTGGAAAGATTGGTCTTCGACTAAACCTCACAAAAACGATGTTCATGAGGAACGGATTAGTTTCCTCTACATCAATCACGCTCAACGGAACGAATATATCCGAATACACCAGTTATGTCTATCTAGGTCAGGAAATCAACATGTTGAACGACTCAGCTCCAGAGTTGAGCAGAAGGAAACGAGCGGCTTGGGGACCTTTCAAGAGCATCGAGGATGTAATGAAGAGAACAAAGAACACCCGACTCCATGCTCACTTCTTCGACTCAATGGTACTTCCTGCCCTAACGTATGCGTCAGAAACCTGGTCGCTGCGTAAGCAGAATGAAAGGTCACTCAGCGCTATCGAACGCGCAGTCGAAAGGACGATACTGGGAGTATCCCGTATCATGCAAGCGAGAGAATGGATCCGAAGCTCCAACCTATGACAATGGTCAAAAATGAAAAACGCGGTTATTAAGCTAAACTCTCGAAGATCTGATGGGCCGAACAAGCAATGCGTATGAATGACAACTGATAGACAAGAGCCGTTAGCGACTAGATTCCTCAGTATGTCAAATTCAAACGAGAAAAACCACCGACACGATAGCCAGAAATCTTCACTGAAACCATATAACGAAGATATCATGCTCAGCGAGTCACTGAAGTGAGCCGAATCCACTGAACTACTTTTGCGCGCAACGGGAAGAAATGGAACCCCTACAATATAAGCGCACTCTTAACGATCAACGAGACGACGGGTAATAGGTGACTCACCAAGACTTATCGGAATGCACATTTCCTCGTTTTGGAAGCACGTATCGCCAGAGAGGATAATGAAAGCGATGAAGAAACGAGTGCATTGGTGAAGCTGGACCCAGATTTACAGTTGGTTGCTCTTGCGTCTCAGAATACGGGAACTTGGGCAAGAAGGATTTAAAATTTTTGGATACGTTATCGAATTGAAATTAGAGTCTCTTGTTTCACACAGGTAAGTCAATCTAGTAATCTCAAAGACGTTGAGGATCGTAGACCAGAGCAGCTGTGGGACATGCCAAGACGTTAAGAATGAGATGATCAAGACACGTTATGCATTTGAACGACATTCACTGGGTGCAAAAAGCCGCCAGTATCTGCGTCCTCCAGGAGATCAAATGCACACAGAGAATTGGATTGATTTTATTTTCAGACTTGTTCACGAAGAGCCAGTAGAAGAAATACTGCTGCTCTTTAGGTCAGCAGAACTATCTGAGGAATTATGACATGCGATAAAGTTGATCTTCATTTGACCCTGATCGAATCAATGGTTGATTAATGATGCGACAAGTGCCATATGTGACAAGTGATCATTTCCCATCAGTAGCTGGACATCATGAAACAGATTAAAAGCAACTTACGCAAAATTGTAAGTGACGGGGTATGGAACACGTCCACGCGACCCATCAAATTCAATATACAGATGTCTACTACCTTGTGAATCACCTGCACCCATCCGGCAAACGATTTGATTTTCTTGGCGCGATAAAACCTGAAGAATAATTACCATGATCATCAATAGTAACGTTAAGACCGAAACAATTTAGGATGTACGATTACATGAACTAACCTTACAGTTTACCTCACCAAATGAGATGTGTACCTCGCTCCCAGCATCTAGATCGGTTCCATACAGTGTCACATCAGTTCCTCCAGATATGGGTCCTGTAGAACTACCTTATAAAGCCGAAGAAGATCAATGAAAAACTTTATTGTCTTTGTTCATTACGAAAAATCATTCTCGAGGAAAACAGCAGGAAGAGATGTTATTCCTCCAAACCTCTAGAGATAAATAATGGTTTAAAAACAACTATTCCACTGAAAGTCCAACTCTACCCTACCCCTATCTGGTTTCACAGCTGATACCGCTGGTTCAACGTATTCGAAATCGTATTTTGAAACAGCAGCATAGTTTGCATCATCTGCTCGCAGTCGTACCTAAATTCGTCTTAAATTAATAGACAGACACTTTCAGCAGACATCGACCTGCTGAAGAAACTACACAAAAGACTGAAATTATCATAATTTTAAGAAGCCAAATTTCTGAAGGAGTAGCAGAAATCGATGAATGGCATTAAAATTCTTCTCGGTGGCTACTATAACACAATTGTAGCTCGGCTAATCTAATGACAATGCAAAGTTCCTCAGTTAGAAATAAAACAAACCTTTTTCTATTCAGGCCCAGCGGCCTTCCGATATCAGTGGAAGACAATGTACTTTACCTAAAACATGGATAGACTTGTAGTAATCAAACTAACCACAATGGGACCCTTGCTGTTCTTGATAGCCGCTTTGCCTGTTTCACAAACGATTTCGGTCGCCGGATGATACTCAGAAGGAATAACAGCGCACTGAACATTTGCCACAATAACTGCACCTGATACGTCCTCATAGCGCCGACCAAGATTCGAGCCAAAGATTCGTAACTGTAAACAGTTTAATACGGGTTCCCTTAAAAACTAGCTATTTAGTCGACGAAAAAGTGATGAGAGCATACCTTTGTCCTTCCTCCAACTGGGCCTTTTTTCGGATAAAAATCACCAATTGTAGGATTCGCGCAAAGTTGTGTGCTATTCAACCAGTCTTGCGATGATTTTACCAGACAAGTTTGCGGTCGAACGCATCGTGATTCTGGTACACACCACCCACAATCATACTTCGACACATCTAACGTCAGACATCGGCCGCAATTTGATGCCAATGCCTCACATTTGTACACCTAAACATGCCCAGACGTAGCCACTACATAATCGTCTACCACTGGAACTAGTTAATAAAACCAATTTCCGGTTGACAAACGAAACACATCCGTAAGTATCATATTGACTTGCTTCAACTATTTGGTTTATACTTTCACACAGCAGCGTGCGTAACGCAGCGGTCGAAGGCGCTCTAAAACACATGTGGGATCGATCCCTACGTCCAAGATCGAGCAAGCCCACCATCCCTTCAGGGTCGGTAATTGGTATCAGATTTATCTGAGAGGATAGCAGCGCTGGCTCGATACATCGATAAGCCACCGCGAATCATTGTAAAGGCCAGATATGCAATGATCCACCTCCAACGATGTTTAAAGAACTCGAAGACGCTTCCCTTAGGTACAGACCAACGCCGAGAGCTTTATCCTATACCCTTTATACTTTCACAATGATATTTCATTATAAAAGGGATTAAGATGATTTTCAAAATTCCTTACCTCTACTGCAACTCCACTGAGATTATCCAATCTGTGCTTCCTCAAGGAATCGCTTGATGACCATAGCACATTAAACTCTACTGCAGCTGTTCCACCCGAAATTCCAATACCGTAATAATCGAAATGCATTTCTTCACACCTATGAGTAGGAAAGAAGCAATATCCTAATCTCTATCGAGTCCTCTAAAGGAATTTTAAAAAAGGAAAAAACTAGAAAAACATCATGAAATTTTACATTATGTTATCATCAAAAGTCTTTACAGCTGGCTTCTCATGTTCAATGCCTTCCAAGCGAAACTGACACCGAAAATCCACCATGAATATTGGGTCAAGATTTTGCACCTGAAAAAACTATGCGTTTTTTCCTCACCAAAGTCCATCACAACTTCACCTTTACTGAGATATTTCGCCTTTCACCAGCTGCTACATATAGTATCGTCTGAGGCGCTACGATATGAGGACATTTTTGTGGGCCTTTTCGACGTGAGTGACCGCCTCGCTGGAAACAAAACAGTTCTAACTACTGAGCTCTATCTACTAAAACGCACTATGTTTTTAGCAACAGATCCATAACTCCTCCTAAAACTGAAGAAGACAGTTCGACAGAATCACAACCAATCTCGCTTTCTCTAGTATAGCTCAATAACACACATTTAAGCCGTTGACGATGTGCTGCTTGCGACACTTGTCCTCCGTTAGTTTACCAGCTACACATTCATTCGACTCCAGACACCTTAACGAAAAATTAACTAGTTTAGTCGCACATTTCACGAATCAATTACAACCAACTTACCAGTCACATGGAAATTCGCTCTTCGCACATTGCGAACACGTAGTGTAGCGACTACAATCATAGAAAGAGAAGTTCGTGGAGGCAATAGGAGTGATGCGACCTGCAGAAGCAGTCTTATACATCGCATTATTGGAAGTATTCTAACAACAGCTTTCTATTCCAATAACTAAACAGAAGCAACACGGTAAGCAAAGAAATGGACCCGACCACTCTTTCAATTAACCCGTATCTTCATTGCTATGACAATATCATCCTCGTTCAGAGTAACCGAGAACACCACTACCTTCTGCTACAATGCTCAAAGTAGCCAAATGATAGGAACTGTTCGCTGGTATCATCGGTATGCGGTTTATAGGTGGCGTTGCACATCGTAGCGTTCTAAAAGCCATTAAACTTGGAAATACAGAAACGCCAAACTGTTTCCCAATGTCTTCATACACCTAACATCGCTCTAAGAAACCTCACCCATCATGAGGATCTTGTCTGGCCGGCTCACTGTTTAAAATTCTTCCATCAGGGAAACGAAAAGAACACTGTAAACGACCCTTTATGTCGCCCATGTTCTCCAGACTTACCTGAAAGAATATCATCAAACGATTTTTAGGAAACCAACTATTTCTACGAGTTGGAAAGCTCCCTTTTCGTCACTTACATTGAGAAAGTCAGCAGTTGTTATCTGAATTTTGTCAGGAAGAACGCCCTTTATGCTGAAATAAAACACAATTTCCAGATTCATGTATTAAAAAACATAATGATGTATGATAAAACACTTATAAACACATAAATACGAGGCAATTTCTCACTTCACTAGAAAGTCTTCTTGGAAAACCCACTTTCCTAGCACTTACTTTGGACAGCGGTTGTTCTGAAAATCCAACCAGCCGCTGCTAGTTTTTGGCAAAACTCGCTCGCAAGTGTCCTCTTCAGTACAAATGCTATTCTTCACACACCATCCACAAAACGGGTCTCGTTTAGCTAAACATACAACGCATGTCGACGCCGATTCACCGCAGTTCGACGTCCTCATCTTCACCACCTTAAAGAATTCCCGTTAAATTTTTTCATCAGTATACCAATGTATTTAAATAAAGCTCTTGCCTTTGACCAACCCCTGATGGATACGCCATGCATTTGACTTCATTAACATCGTTGGAAGTTATTGAATGCATATCTGACCTTTATAATAACTCGTGATGGCCTACCGATGTAGCGAGCCAGTGCTCCCATCCTACCAGACAAGTCTGGTACCAATTCGCCGACCCCAGAGGGATGGAAGGGTTGGTGAACCTAGTGGGATCCATCTTATGTGTATTGCAGGAAGCCTCCGACTAGTGCACTACACGGTCCTCTATTGATGCTTATTAGAAAAGAAAATGGCACTTATTACAAACTCTACTTATAGTCAAAAATTTTTTTAGCACTAGAAACGTTCTAATAAAATCCCTTGTCTGCTGATTAAGGCCGCGTGGATGGCAGTAGTTAGAAGTGCTCTGTAATATACATGTGGTTGTAGTACAAAACTAGCGTCCGGGCAAACCAAACCCGCACCTCTATGGGGTCGCTCAATCGACACCAGACTTGTTTGGAACAAGAAAAATACCAATTCAATACATCAGTACTCCAATGCATGTCTTTTTATATGGCAAATTTGCACTTAAGCACCTCTATAATGCTTATTAAAGTCGAATACATGGCGCGCTTATTAAAGATTAGTCAACAGTGGACGTTTTACGCTTTATCCTTTACTCTAGTCAAATATCCCTTCATAAGTGCTATAAACTCAACAAGGACTCTTTATTGCCAAACACTTAAAGGATGATGAGCGCTAATGAACACGGCAGACTATTGTTTCGCGAACATTAGTGTTAGCGGCAATGCGTGCTATTGACAATAATACTCTCCGTAGTTCGCTGATAATAACGGTCAGCTCAAGCGATGAACAGAGTAGATATACGAATTGTTATAATCACCCTTAATACTTCATATCAATTCTGCATTAATATTACGAGATGAAATGTAACTACAAGAATGCTGAGAAATGGACAACGCTCGGAACCGCAGTAGGGCTTCGAACACGCGATTACCGTTATTTGTGGACTCACGTGCTATCCACCACACCAAACGATGCCTTTGCTTTCCCTTTCTCTCAGGCGTGTTGTCACTCTATCAGTGCTATCAGAAATCACCCGCCAGTGGTAATGATTAACGGAAAGAATAGGAAGTGAGTAAAAACTAATAGAATGTGATCTCGACTGCAGTCCCAGATTAATTGGGCGCAATGCTGATATGGATTCCCCAAACTATTCCCGTTTAAAAAAAAAGTCAGAATGAGAATATGGCCGATAGAAAGGGACAGCAATGACCTCGGTTAGTGTAGTGGATAGCACGTCACCCCATGTTAACGGTAATCGCGGGTTCGAAGCCCAACTAATGTTCGGAGTTTTGTTCACATTTCAGCTTCCTTGTAGTTGTACTTCATATCTCCTTCAATAATATCCTCTATATAATCAGTATAAAAAAAAAGTTCTGATCGCCATACAACTCAATCCACAAACAGCTACTCTAGCTTCATCACTAAACCAATCAACATGAGCAAACACTGCGACAGGAACACTTAACCAATGGATAGTTAACGCTGGCCAAACTTGACATTATACCACGCACATTCTCCCTTAGCATTTTGACAGCAGCGGCAATACTAACACAACAAAATGGCTCACAAAAAGTCAACGTAAAAACTATCGTAGGAGTCTATCGCAGAGCAAATAAGCAATTTCTAACAGTAATGTAGTGAATTAGCATCATATTGGCTAAATGGCTACATTAAGCGCCCTGCGCAAACCATGTTCTCCATCCCTTGATTTGGCAGATTGGAGGCAGACTTGTCCACGAGCATAAAGAGCTGCATTTTCACAATGGCACCATCCTAATGACAATTTAGTTCGTCTAAAACACACCAATTATGAAATTGAAACTATTCTTGCGGGAAATGGAAAGTACCACTCTGTCTGTAAGATAAAAAGGACAAATGATAAAGCTTTCGGCGTTGATCAATCACTGCAGAATGGGCCATGGAATCCACATCATTAAGCATCGTTAGAGGTCACTGAATGGCCTATAAAATGACCTGCGGTGGACTACCGAAGTATCATGTCAAGCTACTATCTCCTTAGACAAGTCTTACAACAATTTTGCCGACCAAGTAGTGATGGAAAGCTTGATTAGTCTTGGCGCGCACACCTGCGACATGTGTATTGCAGAGGTCCTCTAACCACTGTGTCTCACGCACAAAACTACAGTACAATGTTAATATAATTTTACAGCATACTTTCCCAACAGCATTATCATTTACTACATATTCCCTAAATATAACCCAATCAATACGGCAATCAATACATGTTCACTTAGATGTCACTCTAATTAGGAATGTGAGTCGCCTCAGAAAGTGTACTCAAGGGGATATCCGCCGCCTCTGAATTACTAATTAGAAGCCACCACCTCATATACCATATAAAAATAAATTTTTCCTTTGTATAATTTTACTAGTAAGAAAATGAACACACTGCAAGATAACGTCCTTAAATTCACCAAGTCTTAAGCATCAGTAAACATCTTTTTAGCTACAGTAGTTATACTGTCAGTTCCGCCAACTTCCAGATGTTCAAAGCCAATTTGAAAGTCCTTGGAATCTACAAGAGACATTACTTGCGAGTTTTTTTTTTGTGATGCGATGTTGAATAATTATGACACCAGTAGGAGTAGAAAAAATCTCGTATTCAACCCCGACTGTTCGTTTGAAGCCGAAGGAACAATTGCCAAGAAGGGTTTTAAGATTTCATTCATAGAATGAATTGCAAGCTTTGTTTTGACATTAAAAAATTACTACTCAACCAATCGTCTTGTAAGTTATCTACTTTTTCGATCAACTCACTTTGGTAGGTGTCAGTACGTAGGCATACTGTCCATTTTCACTGAAATCCAAGTCGGCTAGCACAGGTTCATGATTCGATGAAATTTCTTCAGTAGCATATACTTCAGCAGTTGATGAATCATGAATATTCGCCTACAAAACACAAACAATAAACGAATTTGCAAATTAAATCTTTAAGAAAAATCCTCATGCACAATCAAGGATATAGTGGACTTTTTCAATAACCCAAGCTTTCAAGGATTTGAAGGCGTGATAAAACCTGTACAGGTGACTGTTTGTTTATATTCTACGACAGCTCTTTGCCTTTTTGAACGAAAATTCAGACATTTTTACACAAGAAAAAGTGCCCAAAAAACTTTTGATGCAAGAGTGTCCAGTTTAATGAGACAGTTGGAAGCACTATCGTGTTGTGCTGACCGGAGTCCCACTTGTTCAGCAGTCACTTCACTACGTGAGCACCCTGGACAAATGCATAGAAAAGAGACTTGTGTACACCAAAAAAGCTACAATTTCATTTGACCGAGGAGATATAATTGCATCTTGTTGAAAAACATCTGCAGGTTTTAACGACTTCCATTCAAATTAGCACAAATCAATATAAACCAAAATACGTATATTTAAAGTTATTGAAGTATAAGCTACTTTCTGTAGTAATCAATTTACATTGGCGCTAATGTGTTAGCGCACACTTCTTGCCAGACATAGGTTAGCAATCCCGACAGAAATACCGTCATTAAGAAATTGTACCGGGTTACGGTAAATTATTAAATCCTAATGTACAACTCATGAGGTTCTGATCAATCAAGATGTTAACGATTAGATCGGAATGGGTCCCAGTATTGGAGTTACAAAATGAACTCTATTCAAATTATGCTTATTAGCCACTTTTTATTTACTGCTTATTTTTGTAACAGCAGGGAATTATGTGAAATATAATCACAGTGATGCTGAGATACCTGCAAAACTCCGGACCGCTGGTGTTTGCGGTGGGGACCGAACACGATATTACCCTTTCCGTGAGCTAACGCGTTCACCGCCACACCACGCGACTCCTTCGTTTCGCCTTTCTCTCAGTCGTGCTATTGACCTATAGGTGTTATCTGCAATCACCCGTCAACGGGATTGATTTAGGTAGCACAAATCGGAATTCAATCCAGCTAAACCGAAACTATGGTATAAATCACAGTGTAGTAACTTTTTGCTTACTGGCTATTCCTTTCTAATGGCAGGGTATTATGGGAAATTTATTAAGGAACTGCAGATCTATTCGGTACGTGGTTTCCACCTGATTGCATAACTCTATATTTTCTGGTTTAACGTTTCTAAGAAACTGAACACTGGCTTTATTCCTATGGATGCTTTCATTGAAACTCCTGCTACTCTTAGGAATTTGAAAACAGCTAACTACAAGATTCATTTTACTATAAAAATGATGAGTCGAGACATTCGCTAAAGAAACGAAAAGCACTTTTCTCAACCATTCCCTCAGAATTCAGTTGCCGAATCGCAATCGCATCATTACGAGAACACACGCGATTATCGAATCTCCGGCTGACCGCCGCTCTCCGTCATCATGCAAAGTTCGACGAAACGGCCACACACACACGCACACACACACATGCCCGACACTAACAACCACCCAAATGGATTTCCCGATGACTTCCAACTGTGCTCCATGCTCTGAACAGCACTCTCGTTAGGGAAAAACGTCTTTTCACAACAGCATCAATACTCCCAACACAATGACAGCAAAGTAGTCTTGATAGTCTGAATGGATTTAAATGAAGAATTAGACCTTATAGAGCTTAGCGAAATGCAACTGAGTATCTTTCTTACTAAACATAAAAACGTGTCAACAATCAACATGAGGACTGCCGTTGTTTGAAGTTTAGTCAGAATTGTAAGAAATCAGGGTACACAATGAGTTAACCTAGAGAGAAGGTATTACAATAACTTCGGCCAACCTTTCTCATCATAACAACCAAAGATCAGGAGTTAGTCGATTTAATTCAAAGAGGTCGTCAAAAACACAAGAAAGTTTTTCGATGACATCGTTCTGTCAAACGTTACGAAGATGAGTCAGATAAAAATTTCCT